AAAATAATTTACTCAGGTTCCTTTCATTTAAATCGAAAGAATTCAACCATCAGTATATACAGATTTCAAAGGATTTTATAATCTACCAAAACTTAAAGTTGTAAAAATGAATTAAAATTCCTATTTAAATTATTCAAAAACACAATCGACTGCCCTGAATTATTAGAACCTATTAATTTTAAAATAAATATAATAAGATCACGCAAAAAACCTTTGTTCTATTTTAAAAACATTACAAAAAATTACCAATTAAACTCTACGTGTAATGTCTTAAGAGGATGTCGGCGCAATATTAGTTTTCTTTCTTCGACCCAAGCGCAAAATAGATAAAACACTTTCACTCAAAAATCAAAATAATTTTTTTAAACTTTTTTTGAGTGCACTAAACTATTACAATAATTATATAAGATAATATGTTTGAGGGTTTGACATACCAACCTATAGATTTTATATTTTATTATTTGACTTTGTATTCGAGTTTCAAAATAAAATTTTCTTTGTAAATTGAAATGGTTTTGTGACAATACTTAGAATAAACCGATCTGTCATGCCCTAAAAATATTTTTTCGTTTAACGGACGATTTAGTTTGATATAAATAGACAAGTGGATAATATAAAATATAAATATAAGACGAGAAAAATATTTTAACATAATATTATATATTATTATTGTGTATTTACTACACAATAAAAAGAAGAAATATAAGTTTAATAGTAGGTAGATATATAAGAAAACAAATAAATAATTACTTAAGGAGAGAATAAAAAAACAAAAATCTATATGATTCATTGTATTTCCGGAAGACATTAATAAGATATTCGAGGGACTGCAAGAAGTGCTTTGGGAATAGGGCGGTATATTAAATCAGTCTTTTTTCCGAGTACTATGGTTATTTATTTTAAAATGAATGTGGCTGTAACTGGTGTAGAATAATACATTTCATTATTAAGTAGTTTGGACAATAAAGGCGTATACGATTTTTTTCGACTGTATTTTAAAGATTTTAAATTTCAAAAAAATTAAGTAAATTTAACTTTTAAGCCTCTGGTTTCCATATGATAAGTCTATTTCCAAACCAATTAGAGGACTAATAGTACTTAGCCATGCCATTAGGGGATTGAACCTGAACAAATAAACATGGTATTAATAATTAATTATAGTCATAAATTAATAAATAAAGTATAATACAAAATAATAATATACACATCGATTTGTAGAAATGTAACAGGGGCATACCTAAATGATAAAATGTATATTTCTTAACAATCATTTCTTAATTTAAAAACCTTCAACTTACTCATAACTATTTTTTGAAGAAAAACCTAACATTTCCAAAACATGAGTATTCTTACAAGGGTGTAATCTAAACAATGGTGTATTAGAAAATGTATGCATCTAAAACAGTAATAATTTGATTATTGCACAAGTTTTGATTTCAAGTGAATTTCTAATTAAATTAAAACCTATTGAGTTATGGCATTCTGCTTGTCATGGACTATATTTTGTTTGAAAAAAGACCACACATGTTCTAATGAAAGTAACTTTCCCTCTAAATATGAAATTAAATTATTTCTATCCATCCGATTGTAATTTGATAAATATTTAATAAATTACCAGTATACCACATATTAAAGAACACATCTGGACACGAATAACTTGGACGAAATAACTTGTACAATATGTGATATTCACAAACAATTGGAATTTTGTTTTCCTTAAGAGAATCTAAAAATAAAATTCTTTAATTACAATATCTATTTATTTATTATTTTAATATTTTAAGAGAATGTCGGCGCACTATTTGTTTTGTCTCTCTGGCCCACGCGCAACATAGACAAAACGCATTAACACAGAATTATTTTTGCTATGTTTTTAAGTAATTTTAGAGTAAAATCACCCATTACAAAAAACATAAAGAATAATATTTTTGAGGGAATGACATATCGATTTGTCTAAATATTGTATCCATACAATTTAAACATAACTTAAATGTACAACATTTTTTGTCTATTTTTAAAGTCGAATACGAAGTCAAATAACAATAAAATATAACATCGATATGTCATTCCCTAAAAAATATTATTCTCTATATTTTTTGTAATGGGTGATTTTACTCTAAGATAACATAATAACATAGAAAAAATGATTCTGAATTAATGCGTTTTGTCTATGTTGCGCGTGGGCCAGAGAGAGAAAACAAATAGTGTGCTAACATCCACTTAAATTTTATTCAGAGATGGCCACCATTAGGCTACCTTATAAAATGGCAAATAAAAATATCTAAGGTGTATGAAAAATTCTATTCAAATAAATATGATTTAATAGTAGTGACTAGTGATAATATACAATATACATACAAAACAGTTATATTTTATTTAAAAAAGTAATATTGCTCAAAACAGAAAAATAAATTTGGTTAGAACTAAAGATTTTTCAAAAATGAGTATAATATATACACTTCTTATTATCAATACAAATATGGATACCAAGTTAAAAAAAATGTATCCAGTTGCAATTCAATTATACATTATTGACAACTAATATAATGTGTAACAGATATTAGTAAGACTAATATTGTAACAACATATTGTTATTTTCAGAAATGGGGTAGGATAGAATATCAAATCGAGATTTTAATTATGCAATGTATAATATGTCATATTATAACTAGTGAAACTTAAATAAATATTCCGATAACAATATTATCATTGTGACATTGTCGAGAGTAAAAGTCGATAAACTAATCTGAGTGGATAGATTTCAATTGCAGATTTATATTTTTGTTGTATCTCCTTTTTTACTAGATAATTAATAAAATGTACATTCTACAAAAAAAATATTAGACAAAGTAATTATTTATGTAATATTAAATGTTTTAGGTATAACAGGTTGTGATTAAATTGTGTCTAGAAAACGGTTGTTTTGTTGAATTCGTTTAGGAATTATTATGGTAAAAAAATAACGTAAATTTTTTTACCATTGGACATTGGTGTTGACTTAAAGTATCCAACCGTCATCTATCGAGTAGGTACGAATGATTTTTTTTAATCTGTAGAGTACTCGACAAATTGTTGGTATGACATGCTCATGATTTGTGTATCTACAACAATAACAATATAAGAGGAATACGCCAATTCAATAAGTTTTGTAGAAAACTGCGATTCAGACTTAAATCATATTATACGCGCTCGTTCAATACTTTTCGAGAAAACTAAATAAGGTCTGTCGTCGATAAGTTATACAACGCATTATGACAATTTGTGAGGTACGAATGTATAACGTACGAAATCTAATTCCAAGAATAAAAATGCATGATGAATCTTAAAAAATAAATATTAATTAAAATACCTACATCGAAATATTTGAAAAATCGAAACCCCGGTGTCACACGAGCGCTTCATCGTAGTAAGGCATTTGGCTGGCTTATCAAATAATAACGTTATCATAGAATTAAACAAAATATAATATATATATGTAAAATAAATTCAGAATTTTCTAATTTTCTAATGTTGATACTAATTTAATAAAATATATTATAAATAAATATAATAATTTTCAGTTTCTCTAGACCAAAATTTGCATGTAACACTTGACCAAATTATGTTATTTTTGGTACCTATATGCAGTACCAGATTACCAGAACTAGGGGGGGGGTGACCCGGGGCCCATGCCACGGACAATAATCATAGAGTGGTGCAAATTTCAAATTTTAAACTCATAATTTTATATTACATATTAATTGACACATGAATTTTTAGATTATGGGTAGAATGATGAATGTTATTATTTTACAATGATGTGTGTTTTTTTTTTAAATTTTTAAATTTTTTTTTTGTGTCTGTGTACACGATAAGTAGTCGAAATAATGCTTCGATTTTCAACTTCAATATCTTGTTCGATTGGAAATTGAATATCGTTGGTGCACTGGGTAGGTCAACATTTAAAATTCACAGTAATTTTCAAAAGCGCCAAGAAAAACAAAAAAAAAATTAAGGAAAAACGAGAAATTTTACGGAAAATCGATTTTTCACAAAAATGAATTTGGTTTTTTGTGTAACTTTAAAACAAATGACAGTAGATACATGCCATTTTCACTGATTATTTATATTTGCATTTTCTATTTACGATAACATTTAAAAAATATTTTGATTTATTTTGAACTGTTTAGGGACATTTTAATTTTCCATTTTTTTTTAGTTTTTTTTTCTAAAAATATCAAAAAAATTGTATTTGTTGGTTAAAATAGCTTGAAAATTTAATAGAAGGCTCCTAGTCTATTGTTTCAAAGGTAGATGAAAAATATTAAAAATCCTTTGATAGTCACAGTTTTTTTTTTATAAGCATTTAAAGTTCAAAAATTGACAAAATATGGAAAAATCACGAAAATCAGCAAATTATTTTGAGTTAAGAATTCGTAAAACTTTTTCTTTTTAAATCTAAGATTTGAAAATGTAATACAAGATTCCTTATAAGACTATCTACCTTTATCAATAAAAAAATCTCTACCGGACAGTCAAATTAAATTTTTATGAGCGTTTGAAATTCAAATTTTTACAACATAGGATATTCGTTCGATTTCTCATGTAGTGATTTCTGTATTTTGTTGTAATTCAAAAACGAATAACTATAGATACATGAACATTTCACTGAACGTTTATATTAGCATTTCCTATACACCATACAATTTTGACTCTTTTGGAGCTGTTTACGGACAATTACAGTTTTCAATTTTTTTAGTTTTTTTTTTTTTCTATAAATATCAATAGGTGAAGTTTTATCTGTTGGGCCAAAAAGTGTAAAAATTTAATACAAGGCTCCTGATATATTGTTACAATATCAGTTGAAAAATATTATAAATACACAACCACAATTTTTTTTATAAGCATTTAAAGATCGAATTTTGACAAAATTTATCAAATTTCATATCAGAATATTCTGAATAATCTGAATACCTATTTAGGATTTTGAGGATTGTGAATTTGTCATTATTTAAATAAATATGGAGAAAACTGTTATTAAATGTCCAAATTGCGTAGCAACATTTACGTTGAAAAATAATATGTATGCTCATCGCCGTACTATTCACCAATTTGAACATTTAAGGAAAGAACCATACATTTCTAAATGCCATATTTGTGATTTAAAATTTTCAAATGAAAAGTGTTCATTTCACTACATGAAAAAATTTCACAACAGTTCTATAAGTAAAAAACAGACAAGAATAAAATATCCTTATGAATCATATGATTAAAACTTATTTACTTCACTTAAATTAAGAGAACATTTGTGTGTTAAACATAACACTACTGTGGAGTTAGAAAAGATAACTTTTGATGATTTGAA